ATTGAAGAGAAAAACTCTGGGTCAGATACCTTACTTTTTGGATGATATTAATGAAGTCAGAACACAAATATTGGCCATTTATTGACACTTTTTGAGGAGAGATTTGCAACACAATAGGTTTTATATAAATGTTATGACATGAGGGGCCTAATTTTAGAAGAGGTATGCTGACACTTCATTAGTTAACAAGTATCAATGACTATGGTGTAATGGCACTGAAATCACCAACACTTGGTATTTAACCCCACCGTGCCAATCACTGGCTAGGAGACTGCGTGGCAAATGTTTTCCTTTTCTCGTTTGTATATTCAACCAATTTTAACTGAAAAATCTCTATGCTAAGGCAACTTAGAACTAGACTTTGCTCTATTTCCATTAGGTCACTCTCATCCCATGCTCTTTCCGCTGTGCTCTGCCACACCTTTTACAACGTATATTCTATCCTGTTTCAAAACCCACTTACATAACTGGTAATTTTCTAATCGGTTTCTCCAGTGGGCTGCTTTATTAGTAAGCAAAAGAAAATGATTACCTCTATCATCACGCCTATAGTCATCCCGAGAGTAATCATCTCTGGAGCTCCATGACCGATTGTCTCGTCTGTCGTATCTGTCTTCATAGCGGTCCCCACCTCCTCTGTAGTCATCATCCCTACGGTACCCACTGCCAAATGCTCTTCTGCCACTGCCTATCCTGGAATCGTAGCCTGTGAACATATCCCAAATTATGATCATCACATCGGAGGGAAGAAAGGGGTTCTTGAAAGAAAGCAATTTCACTTAGTTGTGTTTTGTAATAACCTCTGTCGTAGTCCCTGCTGCCTCGGTCATCATAGCGATCCCGGCCCCCATATCGATCCATATCTCGGCGTGGGCCATCACGATACCCGTCCCGATACCCATCACGGTATCGGTCTGAATCATAACGATCTCGATACTCTAGAGAGAAAACAGACCAAGTAATGTCACTCCCTTTTCTTTGACACCATTAATAGAAAGAAGCTTGATAGCTCATGAAGTCAATTTGGTTTCATGAGTTTACAGTCACTGCTATGTTTTTATTTTATTTATTTATTTATTTATTTTTTAAATTTATTTATTTGAGAGAGAGAGAATGAGAGAGAGCACATGAGAGGGGGGAGGGTCAGAGGGAGAAGCAGACTCCCTGCCGAACTGCTATGTTTTTATAAAAGTAAATCACTTTATGGAGTGCCTGGGTGGCTCAGTAGGTTAAGCGTCTGTTTTCGGCTCAGTTCATGATCCCAGGGTCCTGGGATTGAGTCCAGCATCAGGCTTCTTGCTCAGCGGGGAGCCTGCTTCCCCCTCTGCCTGCCGCTTCCCCTGCTTGTGCTCTCTCTGGATACATAAATAAAAAAACAAACAAAAAAAACCCCAAAACCAAACAACAAACCCAAAACACTTTAAATCCAAAGTGGAAAAATGTGAACTGAATTAAGTTTCCTTGGTACTAGTTTGATTCAAAATATTTTCTCTGATGATTAAATAAATGTTGCCAAGCTAGTAATTTAGCAGTTAAAGAGAAAAATCTCTATATATCTCATAATGAATTTCCAGCATTAAAGACTTAAATACACTAGAATATAATTGGAATCTGTATTTTTGATTGGTTCTAAAGAACCAAAGACTACTTAAAAAGTTTAGCATGGGGGGTGCCTGGATGGCTCAGTCAGTTAAGCGGCTGCCTTCGGCTCAGGTCATGATCTCAGGGTCCTGGGATCAAGCCCCACACTGGGCTCCCTGCTCCGCAGGGAGCCTGCTTCTCCCTCTCCCACTCCCCTGCTTGTGTTCCCTCTCTCGCTGTCTCTCTCTGTCAAATAAATAAAATCTTAAAAAAAAAAAAAGTTTAGCATGAGAAAACACACAAACCTCAAATCTGAGAGGCAAACCAAATGAGAAAAATATGTATGACATAGGACAGTGGATTAACTGGCTATCATTTAAGGAACAGAAACTATAATTAATAGGACATTTCCCACCACCAAAATGGCGAAGATTAAAATAAGATACCTTTGGTGTTGGCAGAGTTTAGGGGAATAAGTCAATTCCTTTGCTGCTGCTGAGTCTAAAATAGCACAACCACTCTGAAAGTTGTTTCAGAACTATACACTAAGAGCTTTAAAATCACATATACTCTCCGGGACAACAATTCAATTTCTAGGAATTTAACCTGAGAAAATAACTGGACAGGGGCGCCTGGGTGGCTCAGTCATTAAGCGTCTGCCTTCGGCTCAGGTCATGATCCCAGGGTTCTGGGATCAAGCCCCGCATCGGGTTCCCTGCTCGGCGGGAAGCCTGCTTCTCCCTCTCCCACTCCCCCTGCTTGTGTTCCCTCTCGCTGTCTCTCTGTCAAATAAATAAATAAAATCTTTTAAAAAAAAAAAATAAATAACTGGACATATTATAAAGACACATGTACAAGGAGGCTCACTGCAATGTTGTTTATTTTGTTTTAAATTTATTTGAGAGAGAGAGAGAGAAAACGAGTGGAGGGCAGCGGGAGAAGGAGAAGCAGACTTCCTGCTGAGCAGGGAGCCCGATGTGGGGCTCGATCCCAGGACCAGGAGATCATGACCTAAGCCAAAGGCAGATGCTTAACTGACTGAGCCACCCAGGCGCCCCTGCAATGTTGTTTATAATACTAAAACTGCTGAGTGCACAAGCTATGGATTAAATAAATCAGGGGGCATCCATACAAAACAATCATTAAAAATGGAACAAGGAATGTATTGATTGTATGTGTTCATGACACTTGAAAACTGTATTTTACACACATGTGAATATCAGTATCACAGGTGCTGAAATGCCAGAAATTTGTATAAAAGAATGTTGTAGAGCTCAGGTGGGAAGCGACATGGCGTAAGGCATTTATAAAAGGAGGTGGGGGCTACTTAGCTTTGGCTAACTTGCTAGATCTTCCAATTTTCTGAGAAAGTTGGGAATCCCAATTTTTACATGAAAAACCTCAATTTCCAAACATGAATCAAGCAATTAAAACAACTTAACATTTTGAGTTTATTAATTTATGTACGCAGACCAAACAAGGACTTTATTTTTATGACTACTTCCTTTTAAACAATGATTTTATTTTGGAAACAGTATCATTTTGTCTACATTCTGTTAGCTTAAATTTGTAAGTTAAAGGACAGGTTAATGTTGGTAAAACAATTATACACAGGAGAGAATCTAAAACAGAATTCAAAAACCAAGTATCAGCCTTGTATTTATTTTGAAATATGTATCTGATTTCTAGAGAGACAGATGAACTATATAACTTAATTTTACTTAGATAATAATAAAATAATAATAAGCTTGCCCTCACCAAAACAGATGGCCAGGAAACACAGAAATGTTTGCTGAGATTTTACGGTAACATTTAGTATAACTACCCCCCCCTCCCCTAAGTCTTTTATGGGCCTAAAGCCTGAGTCTCTAAAGACTTGGCAGAGCTGACCTTGGGGCCATCACCTAGTCTTACTTGTTCAAGGTTTCTGTCTTTCCTTTTTTTTTTTTTTTTTTAAAGATTTTATTTGACAGAGAGAGTGAGAGAGCACAAGCAGGGAGAGCGACAGAGGGAGGAGAGGGAGAAGCAGGCTCCATGCTGAGCAGAGAGCCCCACATGGGGCTCCATCCCAGAACCCTGGGATCATGACCTGAGCGGAAGGCAGACTCCCAACCAACTGAGCCACCCATGCGCCACCCTAAGTTCAAGGTCAAGTGAGAAAATAGTCATGTCCCTTGATTCAAAACAGGACCCTTGGTCTGACTGCTTTTTCTTTCAAGAGCATTTCTTTGTCAACAACAGAACCTCTTGTATAAATGTTGACATGAAAGGTAGGTCTCTCGGGTAGTTCTTCCCAAGGCTTTGCCTGGTCACAAAGTCTTGATTGAAAAGTCAGATATAAACTTGATTCCTTCTCCCTTCTCTGACATCGTATTAGGTTAGGGAGGATTCTTTACAAAAACAGGAATTCTATCTCTTGTTGCTTCCTCAATTTTATTTGGTACAGAACTCACAAGGTGTCTCACAAAATTAAAACGCTTATGAATTGAGGTTGTTCTATTTCTTTTTACTTATAAAATATTACAAACACACAGGAAAGTACAGAAGCAATTATAACAGGGGCGCCTAGGTGGCTCAGTCGTTAAGCGTCTGCCTTCGGCTCAGGTCATGATCCCAGGGTTCTGGGATCGAGCCCCACATCGGGCTCCCTGCTTGGCGGGAAGACTGCTTCTCCCTCTCCCACTCCCCCTGCTTGTGTTCCCTCTCTCGCTATCTCTCTGTCAAATAAATAAAAATAAAAATCTTTAAAAAAAAAAAGAAGCAATTATAACAGACTTCTGTATCTGCACTTATTAGGTTTTAGGGGACGCGAACAGTTTGCCATGTTTACTTCAGTTTTTAAATTTAAAAGTAGTAGGTTTACAAATGGAGCTAAAGGGCTCCCTCTACCGTTACCCAAGCTCATGAAGGTGGTTAGATCACCATATATACATTTTTGTAACTACATATTAAACACTGTATAATAGTTTCAAATTTTTACACAATTTTGCCTCTTCCCCTAAACATTATAGATTTTGAATTTCATCCAGATCAGTATGTGTATGTTGTATTTTATTATATGGAAAAATCACTATTTTGTCTTTTCTTTTCTGAATTAGTGTTCTTTCTTCATAGATTTCAATAAAGCTGCCTGATTCTCCCCATAAAAGTTTTGCCTATCTTTTGTTGGATTTAGGTGGTGTATGTAAAAGTTGTTGATTCACCCCAACTCTTACCCCATGACATTCTCTATTTCCCTTCTCCTTTCTCTAAATTATAGTTGATTTATTTGAGCACTATCTCTCTCCCCCAGTATAAAGAAAGTCCAATGAGGATACAATTTTTGTCTGTTTTGTTCACTGCTATATCCCAAGCTCAGAACATATCTGGCACATGGTAGACATTTTTATTTTTGAAGTGAATGAATTTTCTATTATTTTAAAAGGTATGTTAAAAAAAATTCCATTTCGACTGTTGGCTGCTAGCAATGCAACCAATTTTTGTATAATGTTCCTAACCCAGCAATCCTCCTGAACTTTTGTTAGTTCCTTACTTTATAAGATCCATTGGCTTTCTTTATCAACAAGTGTTTCTATTTTATTATTCTGGGGGGGGGGCACAAAGGGAGGGAGAGACAATCTGAAACAGGCTCCATGCCCAGTGCAAAGCCTGGCAAAAGGCTGGATCTCATGACCCTGAGATCATGACCTGAGCTGAAACCAAGAGTTGATGGCTAACTGACTGAGCCACCCAGGTGCCCCTAAACATCTGTTTCTTAAGAGAGAGAGAAATCTCCCACCTACTCTTTGTCTGGCAAGGTTTTTTGTTTTTTTTTAAATTATAAATTCATCAAGTTCTTCTGTATCTATCAATTCTTTCGGATATTATAAAATTTTTTTGGGTCTACTGCTCCCTTTCTGCTAATGTGATCATTTACATTCATATGTTTATCCTATTACAAAACAGTCCCCAGAACACAGTAGAAACTCACTCGATAAAAATGAACTTACTGTCTCCAAAGCTATCATCACCTCTCCTCGGTGGGTAGTCATCGAAGCTGTCTGTGGCAGGACGGGCCCTCCAGTCTGTATCTGTTTTGTCAGAATCCCGATTTCTATCTCGGCCAAAAGAACGATCATCCCTGTCTATAGATATATAAATTTAAAAACCACAAGTTAGCGCATAAAAACTTCTGCCCGCTATTTCTCACGCACCCCGACCCCTCCCCTGATATACTGGATAAATGAATGAAGCCCTTCTTATGCTGTTCGAGACACCTCATCTATTATTACATATTTAATGTTCATCTAGATCAATCAGGTTTTCTCCAATTCAATACTATTAATGTTTTGGGGTGGATAATTCTTTGCTGTGGGGAGCTGTCCTATGCACATCCTATGATCAACCACAGGATTCTACCCAGTAGGGGTCAGCAGCACTCCCCAGTTCTGACAACTCGAGATGTCTCCACACATTGACAAACATCCCCAGTGGGGCAAAATCATCCTTAGTTGAGAAGCAGTGCTCCAGTTTCAGGCAGGCCTACTGCTCCCTACCTCTATTAAAATTTTCTGGGAAAGGGTGCCTCTGCTTTGTCATCCCAGGACCAAAACAAAACAGGAAGATTTCTATCAGCTTTCTTACCTTTATCCTGTGCTTGATCAGCAACGTCCACTCGAATTCTCCTGTTACCTAGAGACTGAGAGCATAGGACCACATTAACCAACCTTTTGCCCCATTATGCACAAATCCCATGAGTGACCTTGAACGTCTGGGCATAGCAGAAGCACTGGGGGAAGGAAGATAAAGGAAAAACACTGTAATCTAGCCAACACTCCAATTTGTTGGCTAAAGAATCCTTTATAAAGACTTGAAAACTGAAATAACCCCTTAGAATTGACAAATTTAAGTTGGGTTTATATCAACAGCACATCAATTATCTTACCGTTTTATAAAGCTTTATTTCACAAAATAAGCCTTTTAACTATCAAAGGCAATTTATCAAGTGTAATAAATTGAAAATAATTCCCAGGCAACTAGCTAAATAAAAGGCATATTTGGGTCCAAAGCAATTATTCATTCAGACATTTGCAGAGCCCCTACTATGCATAGCAAAGGTACAGCAAGCATTGTCTCTATTATCTCAAGTTCTTTCACTCAAAATTACCTTTGGATAAATCAGTTCCTCCAGGACACCCTCTGACTTCCCTTTCCCACATTATTATTTACACTTTGAACCCAATTAATTCTACTGCTGATTTTTCCTCATTGCACAGTAGAATCTACAGCTGAAGAAGGATAACAGTGAATTTTAGTTGAAAACATCCAGAATTACATCAAAAACCACTATGATGAGGGTGCCTGGGTGGCCCAGTTGTTAAGCGTCTGCCTTCGGCTCAGGTCATGATCCCAGGGCCTGGGATCGAGCCCCGCATCGGGCTCCCTGCTCAGCGGGAAGCCTGCTTCTCCCTCTCCCACTCCCCTTGCTTGTGTTCCCTCTCTTGCTGTGTCTCTGTCAAATAAATAAAATCCTTAAAAAAACAAAAAAAACCAAAGAACCACTATGATGAAATCTCTAGAAACAAAGTAACTCCTAAGTCTGGACCATGACAGCATTTTACATAATAGATAATTCAGCAAACTTCAGATAATAAAACTGTATGGTATTCTTTCCTTTATCCAAACTGAGAAGTTAAAAATTAGTCAGGTTAATAAAACCTTTTTAAAAATGATCTGAGGAAAAAACCTTTGGAACAACTTTAAGCTTTTCATATATTTAATTTTTGACATTTACTTCAGAGTATCATGGTGGTACTCAATTATGAGAAAGGAGGAGTATTTTAAGAGGTATATTGATTTCAGTTGTGTCAAATGGCAGATTTGGACCATAGAATTATGGCACAAATGGCACTGGAAATTGCCTTCTCAAGAAACAGTAAAGGGGTTCTGGAATTAAAAAGAGAAAAAAAGAGCCCCTTTCCTTCCCAGATAGAATTAGTTTTAGTCACTAGAGGTTAAAAAAAAAAAACAAAAAAAAGCAAAAGCAGGTCCTATACTAGAAACTTCCATTACTAACAGGTAGCTAAATGCTTCAAATATCCTGCTTGGGCTAGCTTAAGGATCACTGCATGGCACAAATCACTCAAATAACTAATTATAGTTAGATTTAATAGTCATATCCCCCTCATGTATTAACAGCTCAATCTCCTCTCCCTACTAAATCTCTAGTGTGTCTGGACAGAACATCTATGGGCAACATTAAAAAGCAGAAGCACTGAATGTTTATTGTCATTTTCCTGTAAGAGATTCCTATGAACATGTATTACAAATGACTTCCAACTGAAAAACATTTCCAAACTCTCTTAAAATGATCAGAAACACCATTAACTTCCCTGAAAACCAGATAATACCTTTAACATTAAACTGATTAACATCATTTTCCTATTTGCTTTGATCTGGTCAGATTATTTTAAAAAGCAAAGCCATGAGAGTATGAAGGAGAGCTTCTATTAAAGTCTTGCTGTGGTGGCTTTCTTCCATTATTTTCCACCTAAGTACTTCCCTGAGTTATTGGAGCCTGTTGAATTTGCTCAAGCAAAATGCGACTTGCTAGATGTTGAATGTTAAGTGTTACACTGTACTTTTCTTTGTAGATATGACAATCTTTGAAATAGCTACTGACCCAACCAAAAATATATTGATAAACATAAGACTGGTTAGCTCCCACCCCTCAGAGTCCCCACCTTCTTTTCTTTTCTTTACCTCTTCGTTGAGGCTCAGGGCACTGAGCAAAGAATCCAGGTCCTCAAACTCAGCATAACCAAAACCTTTCAACCTCTCTGGATTGCTGGGTTCACGTGGTAAACGCACTGCACTGATCTGAAGGAGTAAAGAAACATATTTCCCTATTGAGTGTTCTTGTTCATTTGTCTTTCCCCACCTCCCCTCCCCAACCAGTGCATATGCAGTGAATTTCTCTGAAGAATACACAAGAACTGGGGTGTCTGGGTGGCTCAGCTGGTAAAGCATCTGACTCTTATCTCAGAGTCGTGAGTTCAAGCCCCGCAATGGGCTCCATGCTGGGCCTAGAGCCTACTTAAAACAAACAAAAAAAACAAACCACAAGAACCTGGTTGCCTCCAGAAGGAAAACTGGTGCAAAGGGATAGAAGAGAGACTTCACTGTATGCTATTAATCTTTTCCAGTTTGAATATGAATTTAACCCTTAAAAAACCCCAAAAAACAAAAAAAAAAACCACATGAGTTCAGGGTAGTTCTTGCATCCCTGACTTTTGCCTCATTCTACAAGTCTAGTTTTTAGTTGTTTTTCAGTAAAGATCAACTGTTTAGTCATCTCTTTATGCCTATATTGTAGTTGGTTTTAATACATATTTCCAGTTCTATTTCAGAAATTCAATTCAGTTTTTGCCAGTTTTCTAGGCAGTGTACTTTCTGGAGACCCTACCTGAGAAATGTTACTATTTTCATATATTAACAATAGCCTGGCTGAATCAAACACTGGATTGTAAACCCCTGTCACATTGACCTCCTCTGTTGAATTCTAAGATGGCGAACTGCTGAATTTTGTACTCTTAAAGTACAGAAAAAATTTACATTAATCTGGTTTTGAGATTACCTTGTGTTCTCTAATTGTAGGTTTGCAGGATTCCTTCCTTTCAAGTTTCATAAAAAACTTTCCCTGGCACTAAACTGTATTTATTATTTGTAACAGGGTATATACTCTTCACTTCCAATCTTAGAACCATTTCCATATACTTTTAACTATTTTCTGGCCACCTTTTTGATGGCTTCCATATGTTTTCTTACCCTTTTACTTCATTTCTTCAGTATTTTGTATGTATTCAAGTTACATTCTTCTGCAGCACTGATTTGATACTTTAACTCTGGCTCCTGAGATATAGATTTTCTTATAGCCTCTTTTAAATTCTAGTTTAACTCACCTCTTGAATATAGAAGAAAATATGAAAGGGAGAAGTAGTTCCAGACCAAATCTAGAGCATTAACAGTGAAAAGCCTGAATGGGCCCGAGGTTATTCAACACTCTACAGAAGAGGCCAAGAAAGTGAAATCAAAAACAGGTCAGCCTTCTAGTTGTACTACATATTTGTACAGAGAGGAGATTTATAGGTGGCTTTCAAAAAATAATCACATCGTGGGGTGCCTGGCTCGCTCAGTCGTAGAGCATGTGACTTTTTTTTTTTCCTAAAGATTTTAACAACACCAGAAAAGCCACCCATAGAAGTTGGTGGCCCAGTGCAGAGAACAGGATCTAGGAAGGAAGTCAAAAAACAAAAGTAAGAGTGAAGGAGACAGCAGATCTTTAAAGGAAACACACTTTTTTAAAGAGAGGGGGGAAAAAAAAAGGTGAACTCTACCCCCAATGTGGTGCTCAAACTCATCACCCTGAGATCAAGAGTCGCATACTCTACTGACTGAGCCAGCTGGGCGCCCCCAAGGAAAGGTACTTTTTAATGTGTTCACATTAGCAAAGATTCTGAAGAAAAACCCAACAGAACTGGAAATTGTGACTCATTCTGATTTTTTTAAGTCCTAGTATCTTTTGGGCGCCTGGGTGGCTCAGTTGGTTAAGCGACTGTCTTCGGCTCAGGTCATGATCCTGGAGTCCTGGGATCGAGTCCCGCGTCGGGCTCCTTGCTCAACGGGGAGTCTGCTTCTCCCTCTGACCCTCCCCGCCTCATGCTCTCTCTCTCTCTCAAATAAATAAATAAAATCTTAAAAAAAAAAAAAGTCCTAGTATCTTTCTTTCTTTAAAGATTTT